GAGACCCCAGGGTCAAGAAATTCACAATTTCGGTAAAGCACCTTAAGACCCTTCCATCTATGAAGAGTATTTGATTCTACCATATCTGGGTCTTGAGAAGAAGATTTTTGAAATTTCAGTCAATTCAACCCTTTTTGGCCCCACCCATCAGCCCCTGGGGGTCAGTCAGGGCTCATAGGTGCATACTATCAAACTGCTACCTAATACTGATAATGCTAACCCAAATTGAATTACTTCCAATGGAAATTAAACAAATGTTGGTCCAAAATGTGATTTCCCTATATAAACTATAGTAAAGTTTACCCCCTCCCCAGGGGGAAACGTGAGACCCCAGGGTCAAGAAATTCACAATTTCAGTAAAGCACCTTAAGACCCTTCCATCTATGAAGAGTATTTGATTCTACCATATGTGGGTCTTGAGAAGAAGATTTTAGAAATTTTAGTCAAATCGACCCTTTTTGGCCCCGCCCCTCAGGCCCCTGGGGGCGTAGGACTAAACCGGCGACTATTTTTGTTGACCTTTGTCCATGGAAGGTCCCTGCAAAATTTCATTGCAATTGGTTCAGGGGTTTTGGAGAAGAAGATTTTTGAAATTTTAGTCAATTTGACCCCTTTTGGCCCCGCCCCTCAGGCCCCTGGGGGCGTAGGACTAAACCGGCAACTATTTTTGTTGACCTTTGTCCATGGAAGGTCCCTGCAAAATTTCATTGAAATTGGTTCAGGGGTTTTGGAGAAGAAGTCGAAAATGTAAATTGTTTACGGACGCACGACGGACGACGGACGACGACGGACAAAAGGCGATCGCAATAGGTCACTTGAGACTTTGTCTCAGGTGACCTAAAAAGAAGAAGATGAAAATCTACATTTATGCCATCTCTACAAACAATATTGTATTCAGAATATTTGCAGGAGATAAAGTTGGGGATTAAATAAGCCATAAATCGCTAATTTTGACCCCTTTGCAAGCCTCTACCATTTTGAGGGTCAGAAGCCATGTAAGGAGATCCTTTACCTCATTATGGAGGTAAACTGAAACCCTGGTATTATTTTCAATACAGTACAACTTGTGAAATAAAACTTTCGAGCTTGGACACATACCGATTCCATTTAACTGTAGGTGTTTGGCGAGTCCCATCGCTTGATTTTCTGGGTCATTGTCAATCTTCCACTGTTCAAATTCCTCACAGTTCAAACCATCATGTTGGTCCTCCCACTGGGTGAAACATAAATATTGGATTTATTAGAAAATAACTAGAAATTCACTTGAGGTGTATCAATATATACATGGCACATGTACAGTGCCAGTTAAAACCCTCATGTTGGTCCTCCCACTGAGGACAACATAAATATTGGATTTATCGTGGTACAATATATACATGGCACATGTACAGTGCCAGTTAAAACCCTCATGCTGGTCCTCTGCATTTGGGAAATTATAAATAGATCACAGTACAATATACAACATAAATACATATCGGTTTAATTCACAGATCACTATACAATGTATACACAATACAATCCTGTTTAAAACCCTAATGCTGGCCCTTACACACAGGGAAACATAAATAACATGTGCAGTGCTATTTTCATTTTTTTTTTATACTTTAAATTTGAACACCAGTAAAACTTTTTCTCTTGCTACATAACATCTAGACCACAACGCTAACCTTGCTATATACATTTGTATGCTTTTCCTACTACATATACATATACTAACACAGTAGCATATCTTGTTATCTATAGGTAATTATTAAACTTTTTCTATTTTACAACAATTGACATGTTCTATCAATTTATATTAACCACTCTTGCACTTTTGATGGGTGGATGGTAGCAATGGGGGGGGGGGACTTAATGTGGGAGGAAACTTGAGTTTCCAAAGTAATTGACATCGTTGGGCAGGTGACTCCATACCCTTTTACGTCCGATCGGGGAATAGAACCTTGTCCGTCTTGGTAAAAGGTGAGTGGGCTATCCACTGCGCCACCTGACCACCAATCTATACTATATGTATATGTCTGTTCTAAGGCGTTAACACTTACCTGTTTCTTACAGCTGTAACACGTTTTCTTGCGACACTGTGGACACACCATGGCGATGGTGTTCTCTCTGTCCCATATGAACCCATTACCACACTGAAAGAAACCAACACCAAAACATTGATAATTAGAAAATGTCTATAAGACATGAATGCCCCTGTCACCTTGTGAAATTAGTTTCAGTGTTTGATGTTTGTTTGGCGATTTGCTGCGGCTAAGATATGAAATACTTCAATTTTGTGAAGATTTATTTCTGTAGATTGCATGGGTATTACTGATCGACTAATATATATGTTCAATGAAATCACCTCAGTTTACATACAGACTGTGTAACTGCGAAAAATAATGCAAATATTGTATAGATTCTAAATGCTAAACTTCTCTTGTGTAAAAACTTAATCCTAACGTCTTTGTGTATTTCTGCTGATGGATGTTGGAGTACAATGCCTATACTTACATGCGTGCACCATCTAAAGTGGGGATCTTTCTGAAGGTTCCAGTCCCTCAGCTTAGAGTCGTACAGTTCTAGGTCCTCATGGCTGACAATTGTCTGCAGCTGGAAAATGTTACAGATACAAGTATTACATTGGTGTTGACCTCTTCTTGGAAAGTCATTTGCTGATCGAGATTCTTTCAAATTTATAGTAATAGTAAGAAAAAAAACCCAGCTACAAGTCAAACTCTTAACTGCTGATAGACAGTGAAACAAACCAGACTTCAATGAAACCAGACTTCAAAGAACATCTGTAATATCTGATGTAATTTCAAAACTATTCGATTCTCCTGGGCTGTATTAACCCTTTCACCACTGTAGACCATAATGGACTCATCCAGATCAATGCATGGTCAAGTTTACTAAAGTTAAAAAGGGGTGAAAGGGTTAAGGAGCCTTGTCCCACTGCACTGTGGTTTTCCTGTATACATTAACCTCCCCTTAACTTCTGTTTGGATATAACTGTAGCACAGATGGGCCAGGATACTTCAGTTGATGAGGCAGCTAAATCAGTTTGAGCGATAAAACATCAATCTGAAGTGCTGGGTTGGAATCCTGGTCTAGCCCTGCTAATTATTTACATTTAGATCACTATTGTTGATTGTGTTTATTTCATCTTTATTATTCCTCATAAAATTCCCATAAGGCAGGTTTCTTTTCGGGAGTGACTTATCAAAGCTATAGTCATGGCAGTAAACACAGTTTCCAACACTTAGTTACAGTTTTTGGCTGTGGTACATGACCCTTTAATGATGCATTGTTAAATCCTGACAAAATTATCAGATTCACTTTTTAACTTAATGAAGTCTGGCTTCACTCTGATGTCAAAATGACACCCTGAAGAATTGTGCAATGGATTAACTTACCAACATGGTGAGGAAGGTGAGATAGTTGGTAGCCATTTCGGAGTCCTCCATATCTGGTTGGCTACACAGGGGGCAGCACAGGTTACGCACGTGTTTCTCTCGGATACACACCTCAAAGTAGCCCCTCATACAATCTACACAGATCTTACACTCACAGGAACTCAGACTGCGAATCTGAAATCATAAAACACACACAAAAATAGCAAGATGCCTAGTTCAGAAAGAAATGTTATTCCTCGCAACTACATTTTGTGGTTTAATTACTGCATTCAATTTTGCCTATAAATTAAAAATTGTAAACATTTGTTATGTTCTGTTGTTTGCCCTTCAGAAACAATTTTAGAATTATAGAAGGAGTAGCTTCCCAATCTTACTAAAACAATATTTTGATCTACTCTCCGTTTCTTAATCTACACTTTGCTACGTTACACTGTTCCGTAAACTAAACCCTGCTCTGTTCCGTAAACTACACTTTGCTACGTTATGCTCTGTTCCGTAAAATAAAAATCTGCTATGTTACGCTACGTTCCGTAAACTACACTTTGCTGCGTTACGCTCTGTTCCGTAGCAGAGTGTACTTTACGAAATGGAGCATAGATCAAGATGGTTTTCATCAGATTGATATCTTCCAAACTTTTGCTGATCAAACATGTACATAATCATTAAAGACTGACCCTGCTCATGGCGAACCTGCTCATGCAGATTTGACACTCCTGACTAAGGTACACGATAGAGCTCTTATAATCCTGGCAGTTCTTAACAGCTTCTACGATTTCTGCAAGGGAGGCCTCCACTGTTTTGTTGGCAATGTCTATGTCGAGAATCTTGATAACTACCTCAGCTCTGCCCCAACTCTGAAGCTTACCCTCCACCAGTATCATTCGCACCCGTCGCTGTAACACAAAACAATGCACTGTTACTTACAGTACATGTATTATCACAACTCTATCCCCCTCCCACTGCAGTGTCACACAAACACAGCATAGTTAATTACACCACAATCCCCCCCCNTTTGGATATAATTATACTCTGATGATTTGAATAAAGTTAACATACAAACTTGTATATCATAATAAGCATACAGATTTAAAATCTTATTCAGAAGATTTTATTCCAATTTACACACTAGCCAATCTAAAGGGGTTTTCTTGTTTTGAAGAAACCCCCTCAGCCTGCGATATTTTTTTTCAATTTGTATCCCCCTTTCCAAATTGGTCTCATGATCAGCCACTGTAACACTGAATATTTATAATTCCAACAGCAATTGCAGCCTTAACAAATATGTATACTAAGAGATAGCCCTGACTCACATTCATATCCACGTTCTTATCAGTAACAGAGGCCCAGAAGTCGTAGTGATTGAGGATGCTGTTCGTCACACTTGTCTCGTCCTGAGCGTCTAGCGGTCTGGCCATGGCACCAGCTGCCAGGGGAGCGTTGTCAAACTCTGCCCACACTCGCTCATAGAAAGGTTGGATACTGGCCAGGTTCAGTTCATCCAGGGCTGCCTCAACATCTCCTTTGTTTGTCAACATTGACATTAGAACTGCCTCTCTGGCGAAGTATCCTCTACTAGATATCTCCTTATACTGACAAAGGGAAGAGAGCGGATCAGAGACTGGAACACTTCAGGCATCAAACAAAGATCATTCCAGTATATAGTCACTCTAAGTTAGATTTGAAGCAATCTTGAACTCACAGGCATCACATTCTGAGGTGTAAAACAAGAATCTTAAATAACTTATAAAAGATTTCTTTTTCCTGCCACTAAAATTTCTTTTTCCTGTCACTAATATTTTTTTCACACAAAAGATTTCCTTTTCCTGTCACTAATATTTCTTTCAGACACTTAATGAATAACTAATTTTTGATCAACCCAAGTTGGGTAAAGAACCTCATTCTCGGGAGGTGTTTTCTCCGTCCTACGCTCAAGGTAGAGAGAGATCCTATTAACTCCCACTCATGCCCATGCAACCAATCAGACTCATCAATGTTCCAGTATTTTTAAAGTAGAACAAACTCACCATGTCTCTTCTGTTTGCGATACAGATGGCAGCAGCTGTGTCAAGATCACCACTGGTTTCCTGCAAAGCCTTCTTGGCCTCGGGATAGGAAAGTTCTCCAATTTCATTTTGCTCCATTCGAGTTCCTTCATTGGTTACCATAGTAATGAGAGTTTCAATTGACATCTGCCAGTCATTTTTCAGCCATTCGATAGTTTTCTCTAAGTCCTGATCGCATTTGTTTAAACCGAGACTGATCTCTTCCATTTCAAAGCCTGCTTTCTCAGCCTCCTGCAGAATACATAAACATATCCTTGCATGATCATAAATTTAAGTTTCAACATAGTAACAAATTTAACAGGAAACATTAAAAAAAATATAGAAATTCCTCACATAGTACAATTTAAGTACTAAACGTCCTTTCCAGCAGGTATAGGAAGGTATCACAATTTACCAACAGTGAAATTTTGTGAGATATTTTGCATTGTGTAATTTTTTGTCTGCATACACTTTTTCTCTGTGATTCCTCCACACTTATGTTATACATAGTATTATATGCAGCATACAGCAAAACTGTATCTGGTGTATTATAAGTATCAATTATGTGCGTCAATGTCAAAAACAATATCTCCATCTGATCATGAGGGACAAAATTAAATAGCAAATATTTGTAAAGCAAAAATATAAACCTGCCCCCGCTTTGATAGAAATGGACTAGACCCAAAGTCTAACTCAGGTCAGTAGAAAATATTTGTCACAATTATCTGCATTTGATATATTGGTATTTTTCTCCTCAACATGTATCCACAGAGGAAATGTAATAAATGTTAGACTTCTAGTATTGCAGTTAAGAAGCTAAACTTAAAAGTCTTACCAAGAAGTTGTGAATATATCTGTATCAACTAACAAAAATGTAAATACTTTGTTGTGGGGACATAAAAAGCGTACCCATATATATAGTTTTTATTATTTGACTATATAATACTGTAACAAACAGAAAGACTCTATGAAGTGTGTTAGTGTGCTTGTAATGTAGGCCAATACACTGTAATACCAGGATGATAATAAAAATATAATGATCATTCCTTGTATTTACATTCAAAAGACCGTTCTTGTATAGAAATAACAGTAAAAAATATTCACGAAAAACTGCTTCCAAAGCCGTAATATCATTCCTGTTGTAAGTTTGTTTGTTGTTGTTTTTTTTTATAAAAGAACAGCCGCTATCTAACAAAATTACATTGATGATATCAATGAAAATTATGTCACAATCAAAGGAACCCCAATCCCACTGCATTCATAGAGCTATAAATGCAATGGAATAATTGATATCCTTTTATAAGGCCAAGGCAATGTGAATCAAGTCAGACACTAATACAAACTCTTACCTTGAGTATTTTGACTAGACTACGCCCTTCCTGAATCAATGACTCCTGTTTTTTTCTCAATCTTAACTCTTTCATTTTCTCTGTGAAGTTCATCTCCTTATTTCCCCCAGTAAAAGATGGGGGAGGGGAATTTGAATATGTCATTGGTTGAGGAGAAGGCGATTTTCTCTCCAGTTTTAATTCCGGTGGTTTTAAATTGGGATATAAGATGTTGGGCGACGGTGTCTCGACCATCACAAAACCAGCAATTTCTGTTGGTAAAGGTTTCTTAATAATTGTTTGTTTTGCTGCCTCTTCCTGTCTTAGAAGTTCTTGATATTTCTCATGAGCCTCTCTCTTCTCAATTTCTACCTACAAAAGGAGATAAAATCACCTTATATGCATGGTACTTTTATAGTTATGCACTGGGACAATTGAAGACATACATCATTACATGTATAAATTTAAATTAAGTTTATTTACTGATTCAGTATTTATAAAGATCCTCGTCACCGAACCCTAAATCAGAACATTGAAATATTGAACAAAAGATGAATGTGACGTTACTTACATCATCAATGTGTCTCAGATCTATAATTATGAAGGAGTTCCTGGTTCTCCCAATGCTTATCAAGTCTATTTTTAAAAGTGTTTACATTCGGTGCTAATACCACAATTTCTGGAAGATTGTGACATATTCTTACAATTCTGCAATTGTTGCGCTCAATTTATACAGTATTGTCTTGGCTTTGACTATACAAAAATAGATCTGTATATATATGAATAAACTTTATATTACCACAAACATGCGATAGGTTTTATAAACTTCTATATTTCTCTCTTGCTGGCCCGGATGGTGGCTTAATCTGGGAGGAAACAAGAGTAACGTACCTGAAAACCCAGGTGACCCTTACTGTTTTCAAATCTGAACAGCCCGTCTATAAAATACTAACCTACTGTTAAGTTGTTCTTGTGTCCATATCCATATGACCTGGGCTAAAACTACACTTGACTGTCTGTAGTTATCATTCTGTCATTGGTCAGGACTGAAACAATACCTATTGTACCTGTCTGTAGTTGTAATTCTATCAATAGTGTATGGTCAGGGCTGAAACAATACCTATTGTACCTGTCTGTAGTTGTCAGTCTTTCTATGGTGTTTGCCCTCGCCTGTAACAATACCTACCTGTCTGTAGTTGTCATTCTATCTATAGTGTATGGTCAGGGCTGTAACAATACCTACCTGTCTGTAGTTGTCTTTCTGGCAATAGTGTAAGGTCAGGGCTGTAACAATACTTACCTGTCTGTAGTTGTCATTCTATCAATAGTGTATGGTCAGGGCTGTAACAATAACTACCTGGCTGTAATTGTCAATCTATCTATAGTGTATGGTCAGGGCTGTAACAATACCTACCTGTCTGTAGTTGTCTTTCTGGCAATAGTGTATGGTCAGGGCTGTAACAATACCTACCGGTCTGTAGTTGTCATTTTGTCTATAGTGTATGGTCAGGGCTGTAACAATACTTATCTGTCTGTAATTGTCAATCTGTCCATAATGTATTGTCTTGGCTGTAACAATACCTACCAGTCTGTAGTTGTCATTCTGTCAATAGTGTATGGTCTAGGCTGTAACAATACTAACCTGTCTGTATTTGTCATACTGTCCATAGTGTATAGTCTGGACTGTAACAATACCTTCTATACTGTAGTTGTCATGGTGTCCATTGCGTTTGGCCTGTTAATACTTACTTGTCTGTATTCATTGTATGCTATCTGGCCATGGCGTACTGCCCGGTCCAGAACCTTGGTTTCCTCTTCGTCCTCCACAACGGTTTCTGGAGCCAAATTGCTGGAAGCACCAGTTTCCCTGTCCTCATCATACACAAACGTGGGGTTCTGACTGGTCTTGCTACACATGGCACATGCCTTAACATCCGGTTGGTTGTAGAAGGTGCAGTGCTGACACATCCACTTACAAGAAGCCCCCTCAGACCTACTCCGAGCCACAGCTCCGGGGAGATATCCTGAACTAGCTGGAGCAGGGAGGGAATAGTTTTGACTCCTTTTCACTGGCTTGTTCTCATTTTGTACTTGTTTGTTGAGCAGAGTAGAGGTGAGGTTGGATGAATTGATGTCCTGCATTGAGGCACTAGCCGCCTGAAGATATTCTGCCTCTCTCAGTCCAGGTGGTTGTGGAGCTGGTACTGGTGGAGGAACTATAGGTACAGCTTGTGGGGGGTAGTGCACTTTCTGCAGTTTAAATGGCACATGTGGCTCTCTTTTCAACTCCTTATTAGCCTCCAGTAGACCTTCGTTAATAGTGTTTTCTGTCACGGCTAATGTTTCCATTGGATCTGCTGAATTATTTAATTTGGAAGACACTAAGTTTTCCTGTGGCCTATCCTGGGGACCAAACGGAGGACGAGCTATGGAGTACCCTGGGGCCTGTTGCTGGGTTTCTAGTTGACCGTTTTCCTGGTCACATGGAAGGGCTGGGGGCATCGGTGGCTGAGACATCTTCTGACCGTACTGCATTCCCATACTAGTGTATGTATGCTGTGGCTGAGGTGCAGGCATGTTGTAGGGATGGGTAGTTATGGGAACCGGGGTGTATTGGCGTGATAAGTCTGCACTCCCTGCCCTTGTAACTGGGGTATATTGGTTGGAATTGGAGTCCATGGCTTTCGGAGCTGCGACATCCATTATTTTTTGTCCCGTAGCCTGACCAATTGTACTTGACACTGGTGGTTGTAAAGGTTGACCCGGGGTTAGATAAGCACCAGAGGACTGACCTGCTGGGCTGCCATATCCACCCTGCTGACCCACTGAGCTCATAGCAGATGCCGGAGACCCAAAGAGTACAGCACTGTTTCCTATTATACTGGCATTCATTCTTAGTCCGTGAACAGGATCCCGAGGATCTATTTGGGGCCCAGGAGTAGAACTAGGGGGACGGAAAATATGCTGATTGGCAATATCAACCTTTCCTTTGTGTTTGTCATGAGGAAAAATTTCCTTAAAATATTTATCAATCTCCCTTTTCTCTTTCTGAAGATTAAATTTCCTCCTCGTTAAACTTTTGTATTCCTCATCCTCAAAATCTGCCCCTTCATCAATGAGGACAGAGGACCGTTCCTCGACATCCTGTATCTCTTGGTGCAGCATTTCCAGGTCAATGTGGATCTTGGACTCCCTCCTATCAAGATCCTGTATATCCATGATCCTGCGCAATAGTTTGGAAGTTGGTGGCCCACCAGGCGCAGCGTTGGCATTGGAACTCTTATGCTGGGGGAGGCTGGGGGATCTCTGAGAAAACAAAACAGAGATAAGTAAGAGTATCTTAAAATTGTTTGCTTTGTTTTCTAAAGTAATCTAAGAAAGTCCTGGTCTAAGGGGCAATTACTTTTTACTGCATTCTAATATTTAAACGAATTGTAATGCCATTATAATATAAACCGAGCACGTTTTAGTATATGTTTTATTGTGTAATGCTTATCTCATATCTTGTGATAAATAAAACAGTAAAGAAAGAACCTCATGGGGTCTCTGATCATTTAAATATGATTACTGTTTGAAGTTTATCAAAAAAAATATGTTCATCATATTTTTTCATTGAATGAGTGAAACATGCATTTTCACATGAATGTGATCTTCAAAGTACTGTCATAAAATGGCTAAAACTAAGTTAGAGTTGTTACCACTTTAGCTGGTGGTGACGGATGAGTCTGTGGTGGTAGGGTAGCCATAGACTGGGTCTCATGACTGTAAGTAAATCGGTGTGTCATAATATAATGTTTTATAAACATTTCATATTGGTGAAATACAATACCAAGATCACTGAGGTATAATAAAATAAACTTTGAGCTATATAATCATAATTATGTAGGTAATATAGAGATGTAGCCACAGCTGTGTGAATTTTCATATCAATTTATAGCAAATATCGCCTCATAAAAATGCTACCATCTTGACTGACATTATTTTAACAAAGATGCTGATCACTCAAAAGCATACCAACAGAAACTTGTTTTCTTTTTAATATTTGAAAATTTACTGCATCAAGTTAAGATATAAACATGATAATAACAGTCACTCTTTGTGGAGCCTCTTTGTAAACAATCTGTAAACAATATACTGCTGTCATTAATGTTGTAGTTTAAAACATCCCAAATACTATTTTTTGGGTTATTGCTGATGAGGAATCATAAAGTAATAAGGCCATCATTTCTTACCCTTGATTACTGTAGCTATGGCTTGCCTGGTTGACATCTGTGTTCCCCCTGGTACCAGAATTGAAGTCAGTGACATTATTTGATACACCAAGCGGGTCCTCGGAGATCCAACTTGGATCCTGAGAAGCTGGTGCAATCCCTGTTACACTCATAGGGGGTGTGGTCTCATTGGTCACAGGAACCCCTGTCTGTGACAACATCCCATCAACAGGTGTCCCTATCTGATGTGGCATTTGAGCTTCAGACAAGCCCAACTCCTCACTACACGGTATTCCCCTCATACTTTCAGTCCTGTTCTCACCAGTCTTGATGACTTCACGCTGGTGGTTTTTGCGTTTGGGATGCGTGTGCCATCTTTGGTCACAGTTTGTACATAGCTGTTTGTTGTCACACTGGGAACAGACCAGCTCCGGCGCCTGTTTACCGCAGATATCACACACTGTAGGGACACAGATCATGTATAGCTATATAAATCACTTGTCTTTTAGTACAGTTACTATTTACAATATTGCTGCCTAAAAGCTCTTATAACTCTGTAGTAAAGTTCCATGCAAACATATGATGAAAATGACTTTAAATATAAAATATATAACGTATTACCCAGTACATTTATTTAAACCAAACATTATATTCCACGTTATTTACTCATGAAAACAAAGTGTTTAGATGAACAGAGTTTGTAATAACCTTCTTTGCTAACAAGACTGATGCCAACAAAGTAATACCTGTATGTCGCCTCACGTTGCAGGCGACACAAAAAATGATGTGGGTGTTTTTGCACAGCAGCGAAAAACCAATGACATGTACAAAGCAGCCAATCCATACTCACCCACGCTGTTACATAACTGGTCATCATCCTTCACTCCTGAGCTGGCTTCCTCAACAGAACCTGCTATCTGTTGCTGGACAAAAAGAAATCAGGATTATCAGACCACCATATTTATTGCATTCCCTACACAAAACAGTGAGAGTTGATGATATAGTGACACTCAGACAGTCTTTAAAAATGAAAAGTAATCCAAGCAAAGTTTGATAAATTAAACCCTGTTCATAAATGACGAATGAATTAAGTAACAGAAATGACTGTTTGGAAAGGAAAAACATTAATGTATAAAGTATAACAATTTTTTATTAAGCTCATCTTTGATATATACGACATATGTACAGGAATGAGAATTGGAGACTTGTCAATCTTTGACTAACCTGTCCGGAATTCTCTGAGGTGCTTGAGTCCCATGCCTGTTGGACAATGCTTGGTATGTGGGGTGCTCCAGGGTGTCTGTAGCCTGGAGCCTGGCCCCTCATCTCCCCAGGTAGTCCCATGGTGGATCCTTCCAGGCCAGAATTCGGTGTATAACCCTCGGTCCCCGGAAACGCCGGTATAATTCTTTCAGGGTTAACTAATGGTACCTAGATACAAAACAGATGATAATCAGAATTTTGTGATGTCTTGAGATCATAGTATAAACAATGTATGCACTTTAACTTGCCTTTTCCGCCTCCTATGATGAGGTGGTAGTACTAATATTAATACCCGGCCTCCTCTGCCATGACTGTCTGACCGGGTATTCAATTGATCCCATGCCTTGTAATGGAGAAAGCCCGGTGTGAATCACACTGGGGGGGATTTTAGAATTAATTGACAGCACATTGGTCCGCATCTATAAATAGGGTTGTAGTATAAACTATTTCTGTTGATATCCTGTATAACTTGCAGTTAAACTCGGCTTGAAATGTTGTTAAATAATCAAGTTAACATAGCAAGCGCAATCGAAATATTAATTGACCGCCATGTTGGAAAGTTTGTCGTTCTTCCGACATAGGTCAGACGTCTGTATATGGATGTCATGACCCGATATGGAAACTGTAGTAAACATGGCGGCATCAGTAGAAATACTATATTTGGCCATGCAGGCCATATATAGAAAGGATCATTGAGATAACATCACATGTGATCTGTCATGGCAGTTGTTTCTATTATTTCCCTAAGACGGACTTGGCTAATTTCCTGAAAGAGTTTTTTTCATTGGTAAGGATTCGTTTTTACAACACTTATGCAATATTTTTATAACATTACACTCCAATGAGGCGTGAATTATATGTAATCTTACAGATTAGCATTTTTGATTTTGCTCCATAAGTTGGCATAGGACCGCTTCGTAGCTCTGACAACACAATATATAAAAAATATCTGACGTCATCAGAGAGCTACGTTATTGCAGTTAATAATGAGGGTGAATTTATCATGCCAGCAAATATCAATGCAAAACATACTTCATACAATCTTTCCGTGTGAACGGTGAAATTGATGCTGGGCACATGTGAATTTTACCAGAGAAGCCAGAAGGTCATATGTTGGACTGGGAAATGTTTTCTAGCCACACAGTAGGCTAGTTTATGCAGTTATACTACTACCACTAGACTTGCACGAGCTCCACATATTATATATGTGGCCCATCTGTTCATACAGAAAGTATCTATCTATCGCTGCTGATGACTATTGGAATTAAATGAAAATAATGCATACAAATTAAGTGTATAACATCTTTGTCCCTGAATACATTCATAAGAATATTGTTTTTACTGTTCAGTAGAATAACTCACTTTAGCAAGGGTACATTCACATCTTACTGAAGGGATGTGTTTGGCTGGAAAAGGTTTGGAGGGAGGGGGAAGAATAGAGGGAGAGCCAAACAGATCTAGGAGAAAGCTGCTATGAGGATGATACACTCATTTGATATGTCTGTATAAGACACAGTAGATATATAGTACCGGGGTATATATTAACTGAAGTTTTTGTAAACATTCATAATTACCCCCATTCCTTCTATGATGAAAAGGGAGCTACATTCAATGTCTAACAAAATAAACGGAGCTAAACGCATAGTCTAACCGAAGTCAGTGATTAACCCAAGTCAGTGATGCAGAAAATGTAGGTCAGTGACCTATATTTGACATACTTAGGAGCTTATCGTCAATACCTATCCACCTTGGAAGTTTGATGACAGTTGACCTCTAGTTTTAGAGTAATGGAGCTAAACGCTAAGTTTAAACTAAGATGCCAGATTAACAAACTGAGTCAATGGAAAGCAAACACTGAATGACCTCTTCACTTATATGGTAGATATAATTAAATTTATAGAACAATTGGAATGTATGATAAGTGTGTCAAGACAAATCCTCCAGAGCCAATCTTAACCGTTCAATAGAATGTAACCTCTTCATCAAAGCAGCACAGCAGAATAACTATACGTTGCTTTCCATTATTTTAATCGAAATGGGATAAAAACCTATTAGACTATACAAAAGCACTCACCACAAAGTTGTGTACTGGTTCTTCCTTCTTCTCCGGCGGGTCTTTGTTATTGCGTCGGTAGTCCATCACCGACTGCAACACTTGCAACTCATTTCTGTGAAACATAGTTAACATGTACATACTGGAAGTATTTGAAGCTTTTTCTGTCTCTAATACAACTTCATTAGTCTACCATAACTTTAAAACAAGCAAACATGTTTCACAATCTAAACTGTCTAGCATTTTTACTTACTGGGTAACATTTCCAAAGCAAGAAACGGGTCCACAGTTTTACGTTTTCCTGATAACTGAATTCAGTCAAATTTTGGAAACAAGAATTATTGGCATGTGGGAACAAAGATTGCACATGTACTTACTTTGCAAATGGCTTTATGAGGTCAACAAGTATCTCCGGTGCTGGATGCAGTCCATGGATAAGGTTTGTAATTTCATACTTCATCAGTACCATGTCAAAGACCATTTCGGCAATTGTATTAGCGTCACTGTCTTGATCCTCTGGAAATGCCATACCGCCCTCAATATCTTCTGTATATCCCATCTGCCTCATTATTTTCCGACCTCCCTGTGGTAAGCAGTAACCAAATAATTATATTTACCTTTGTATGACTGAACACTTTATAGCCCTGTCAAATTCACTTGGCATTAATATAGGCTAAAAATGGAATGGTTACAGTCTCTCAGAAATCACTATGAGATGTTATAGGGTTCATTCACATTTATTAGTTGATATTATAAACAAGAAACCGCCAATGGTGATATGGGGGATTGCTACAGTACACTTCATGTAAAGCATCACATGTGATAAGCATCCTTTAAGATAGAAAAGCCACGCAAGTTTAGTTGATGTAGGACAACTAGTTACTTGGTAAGTGACCTAAACCAATCTTCTAAACAGTAGTGAAGATATGGGCCTGACCTTAACGAAACTTCCTAACCTGGTCACTGAAGCAGAAAATGTAGATCAGAAGCAGCATCTGAAGCATCACATGTGATTAGCATCCTTATATACATTAACCATGTAAGTTTAGTTGATGTACAACAAGTAGTTACTTGGTAAGTGACCTTAACAAATATTCTTAACCAGTGCAGATGGGGCCTAACCTCAACCAATGTTCTCCTGGTCAGTCAAGCAGAAAATGTAGGTCAGAAGCAGCATCCGAAGCATCACATGTGATTAGCATCCTTATATACATTAACCATGCAAGTTTAGTTGATGTACAACAAGTAGTTACTTGGTAAGTGACCTTAACAAATATTCTTAACCAGTGCAGATGGGGCCTAACCTCAACCAATGTTCTCCTGGTCAGTAAAGCAGAAAATATAGGTCAGAAGCAGCATCCGAAGCATCACATGTGATTGGAATCCTTCGATACATAAGCCATGCAAGTTTAGTTGATGTAGAACAAGTAGTTACTTAGTAACTGACCTTAACCAAATTCTTTAACCTGGTCACTGAAGCGGAAAATGTAGGTCAGAACCAGCATCCGAAGCATCACATGTGATAAGCATCCTTAGATACATTCAAGTTTAGTTGATGTAGAACAAGTAGTTACTTGATAAGTGACCTAAATCAATCTTCTTAACCAAAGTGCAGATGGGGCCTGACCTCAACCAATCTTCTTAACCTGGTCAGTCAAGTGGAAAATGTAGGTCAGAAGCAGCATCCAAAGCATCGCATGTAATTAGCATCTTTTGATACATAAGCTATGCAAGTTAAGTTGATGTGGGATAATTTATAACTTGGAAACTGAGCTTAACCATTCTTCTTAACCTTAGTGCAGACAGACGGGCGGACGGACAGACGGACAGACGGACGGACGGGAATCGCCAATCTATAAGCCCTTGCATTGCATTCCAGCCAAAAACAACTACAAGATATGGCAGGGGTTTAACACACAGCTTAGAGCCATATCATGCATTACCAGGAACAAAGGGTACACTGCAGCAAATGTAGCCAAAGGCACAGACAAAAGGCACCTTTAGAATAAAAAGACCAATTCCTCAGAGTGCCAGGTGTGAAAGTGAATAGAAGTCAGAGTGAGATACAAGTGTGGTCCAATAGAAATCCCTAGTCTGTTACAAGTCAATACACATTTTATAAAGATGAAATATTCAAGCAACACATTGATGATATACAATGTGTACATTGACAGAACAATTCAACCTGCCACCTTATGACATTATAACAGTAACCTTGGACACTACTGATCCTCTGGGACACAGCTGTCCTATTCATTAAACAGGCATGCAGCAAATGCTACATACATTTATTCATTTAAACATTCAATTTTCAACTAATTTATAATACGTTAAAAATGTAAAATGTAAGTAGTGAACTCTTTCCATATAGAATTCATCTGCAGTAGATCAAAGTCCATGAAGTCTTTCTGGACCTTTGGGAAGGTGAGCTAAAAAATGTAAAATATTATGAATATGAAAAAACTACGAATTAAAAGTCACTGAGGGAAAAAGCACTTGCTTACCTTGATAACATCGACACGATCCCTGAAGAAGGTGTTGCTAAATTTGACATATCTCCACATTTCTGCCCTATTTTTCAGTGGCTTCAACAAATGTCGTGCATATTTCTCTAGAATATTGAAGGCAAATCCAATTTTCTTCACTTGGTCTAATTCCTAAAATGTAGATAAAGCGTATTAGTCGTCACTATGAATCGTAATAGTAGTAGTATAATTCCTATTAATTATTTCATACACTGGTGAATAAATTTTAACTGACTGTAATTATTGATTTGAACAGTTGGAACCTTGTGATATATACATGTTTACCTATCTGTTTATCAAAGTTGTTTTAACCTACATCACCATTGTCAGGTGCCTAGCTGCCTATACGCTGGTTTGCATGTGAATCCACCAAATTTTCAAAACAAAAAATAAAACAAAATACTGCTTGTTGCACCCCCTTGTCCCCCTACCAAGGCCCTGCCCTGGCCTGCTCCTTAATCAATCCACTACAAAGGCTAGCTGCGCTCCTGTTTGTATTTGGCAGTAGTGTGATGCTGTATTTATTCTCAAATAGGCCTCTTTCCCTAATGAAAAATATTAGCTCTAAGGTTTTGGAGAAAGCTTATTTGTGAACCACATTTCATACAAAATTCAAGATCCTGGAAAATAAAGATGTGGGAGAAGGGGGCTTATTTGTGGGTGGGAGCGTCTATGCAAATCAATGTGGTAAATCCATTTCATGTTTTTTGTATACTACTTTATACATATTGTCCATTGAGAAATCATCATTAAGATAATGGGTATGACATCAGGGCATGGTGATGTCACATTGAAGACAACAGACTCAACATCAAGATAGTGACATATTGCAGACTTGATGATTGTCAGAGAATTGTTTTTTCTATATATATATATATATTTCCACACTCCTTATAATGTGATAAAAAAGGAAACTGAATTTGTTTACAGCCTCACTAAACAGGAAACTTTTAAGACTTTTCATATAGCTCTTGCATGAAATGGAACTGTAACATGCTTGTCATATGATGAAACCAAATGAAACTAAAGGATTTATTACAATTGTTTTCATAAGAACAAGAAAAAACAGTCAATATTATTGTCATATTTAAACTTCTGGGTTTCGAAATAAGGATGGGAAGGTGCTGAAGTAGGTGGGTAGGTAGGTCCGTCGTTTGCCCGGCAGGTAGATTGACAAACTTTTTATTTTCAAAAATTATTTAATATTTTTCAATTGTGAAGGTTATATAAAGAGTGTTTCAGACTTAAACACTGCTGCTCTTAAATAATATGAAGACACCCATGAAAACGAACATAGGGAAGGGAAGAGTAAACACAGATTTCATTTTCATATGCCTTATGTTGGATATATATATTCAAACTGACATTATATAGGAAGGCTCCAAGAAAATCTTACCTCACAATTCTCACGGATCAAATTCTCCATATCAATTACACGATATTTCATGTTTAAGTCACAGATGACCCGTGACAAAGCAAGCATTTCTTTGGTACAGTTTTGTGGCTCATTCGCAAGTATATACGGTAGCATGGCCGCACGCATCCTTGCGATTCCCTGCCTCAGAGACTTTTCGTCTGCCACCCTATTATGTTCCTCCATGGCGGCAAAGGATGTTGTGTGTATCACCAAACTATGTCAGCAGAGGTATTATGTACCTGAATGTAAATAATACATAAAATTCATAAACAAAATGTATTTAAAGGAAATTTATTTTGATGCTGAATTACAATTTATATAAATTCGAAATACAGAGGAAAACTTCTTTCAGGATGGTAAATGTAGAAATACATCAAGCTCAGTAGAACGAAAATCATAAACACTGAGGCGTAAAAAACATTGCATATGCCTGGATTTTAACCCTTTCACCAATTTAGACCAAAATGGACTCATCCAGATAAATGTATGGTAGAGTCTACTCAAGATACCTAGGAGTTAATCAAGGGTGCACAATTTTGTATTTAGAGTACTAGCCCACAGGTAGATTTTGAGAAATTATACTAGCCCTCACCTATCATTTCATAGTAATTCATCAAACATTCCCACTAGCCCAACATCTGATAGTTTAAACAATGTATGTACTAAACATGGTTACATATTAAGCATTCTAACTAGACATGAATAATACCAACAAATGATTAACTTAATTTTATATATGATGAAGGACATGCTAATTGTACAACAGAAGTATATCATACTGTAAATATTGTAACATCAACTGATATGGACACAGGGGCTTACAGTCTGCGTCCATTATTTATCGTATTAAATTGTATTAAATGAATAGTCTTTTAATTACTTTGCCTTTTTATATCTTTAGATTATTTTTGCACTGATGGTACATAGGCCTATTGAAAAAAAATATTCTTTGAAATATTTCTGAAAGATCAGTAAAATCCCATCGTTATTAAAGATAATTACCTGAGCAGGTGTTAATATAACATACATTTATAAAATCCTTTCCGGGTTTCCATTGATATTTTCCCCTGTTCTGGCCACACAGTAACAAAATCCACTGAATTGGTTTTCCACATGCAGCAGAATTACAACCGTCTACATTGTGCACATTGGCATGATATCATTTTGACCTAAGACATGAACACTCTAATATCTATGTATATAATAAGATATGAAAGGTCTGGTGATCATTTTGACTTTATATCAACTAAGTCTAAATTGTTTCCTTGTTTTTTTTATACACAATAGGTAGATCCACTTTACAGTATTGATAATGATATGATTAGCTACAGGTACTTCCTGGTATGATTCTAATGGGAATTTCCACGGTGCCATCAATATAAAGTGAAAGTAGAAATTTACAATTTTCCTACAAGATGTACATTTTCCCCCCTCATTTAATTTAAATTAACGCAATCATGTTTTGCTTCAAAGTAACATTACACAATACCTAATGATAATTTAACATCTGCCACTGTCTAAGTTTGAAGGTGGGAGATACAAGACATCAAGTAAGCTCATCTTGCAAGTCCAGACTGAGTGATCGATACACATAATTGTTTGCATATTGTTATTAAAAAGGCTTTTCTGGTCTAAATCAATGTTCTATAAAGTCAAATGCAATCATGAAGTTTACGTTTAGAGTTACACTCCATACCAGTTTTTCACCTGGTAACATCAGGGTTATATTTAGATGGCTTATATTTATAGAGGACCTTTGGATACTTACACTTCAAGATACAAACTTTATCTTAATCTTTTATTGTTGATATATTCATTACCAATTCTATTTATTTAACTATTATGTAATTATGAAATTGCGAATTGTAAATATATACTTATCTACAGAGTTATAAACAATGGTTTTAAAGAACATCCTGTATGAAAAATAGAATACCAACTGATATTATTGGGAAAACACACCCACCATGAGTCATCCATATCGGTGACACGATGACATTGCCCTTCAGTTTGTAATAACACTGTTCATTGTTATTTGGATGAAGCATATGATTCGTTATGATAAAATTTACTATATGAACTCAAAATGATAGCAAAACATACTGGGGGGATCCCCAAGTCATGGTTACCATTATTCCAGATTCAAATATTTTGGAGTCGGATAGGTGAAACGCTGGAGTTCAATCATTGCCACAAAATGTTTCTTTGCTACCATGACGGTAGAAACCAATAAAGATGTTACATCCTTGTTTCGTCATCCACATCAAAGTTCTTCAACTAAAACCTCTTAATCTTAGTCTTCCGAAACAAACAGTTATGTAGGATCATGATGGAAAGTCGCCAACCTCGTCACGTGATCATCAGTTCTATTTTAAGAACGTGTAACATCCTGGGAAGTTCCGTGAGGCTATTTTTAACTAATTAAGTATGGTAAATACTGAAGGGCGGAATGCAATATCCGGAACTGGTGAAATAAATAAATGCATATATTTCTTATTCACCTTTTTAAATTTTAATTGGTGAAGCTGATTCGTGATGTTTTAAACGTTTGCCTCAGTCTAACCACGGAATTAGTTATCCGTGTAATTAATCTTTTTATAGATTTTTTTGAAAGTTAAAAAAAATGAAGTTATTAATTTCTATTTTTTTGCGCTTTTTTTCAATTCCCTATAATATTCAGAACAAGGGACATTTTCACCGGGCTAACTTGAATATATTCATATTTCCCCTTCTATCAGTTTCGACCATTCACAATAAAAAAAAATCATATTCATTGATTAGAAATAATTGGGGGGAGGGGGGATAAAAACTTGATCGCCATGGAATGGGGTTGAGTTTCTCGCTCTCTGTCTCTCTCATTCTCTCTCTCTTTTTATATAAAAATTGGAAAATGGTTGAAAAAAATGTTTTAAGGGACACTGACAGAAATAATCATAATTAAATAAAGTCATAGTCTTTAAATAATCACTATAAACAGAAACATGTCTCTGCTATAAAGTATATAAAATGTTCCTGATAAAGCGGGAACATATTATATCCGACCCGTCATTAATTTTAAAGAATAATAAACGACATTTTCAAGAAACCAGAGGGCCAGAGAAATATTATATGTGAAATTGAAATTATGACAATAGGTGAAACTATTTGTTGAAAATGTTGAGATTTGCACCTGCCTTGAGTGGATTATATCAGCTGTCTTGGTTATCGTAGACACAGGTACGTGATAATTTGTTACAGCTATATTTGGACCTAAACTAAGGTGTTCAGGGGAATTTTACATGTTATAGGGGTTTTAATCGACTTTCCGGGGGGGGGGGGGGCATTTTTACTGAAAGTCGATATAAACCCATAAAACATGTGAAATTACTCTGAACACCTTAGTGTATGTACACATATAGCTGTAACAAATTCTCAAATCCCCGTGATCTTAGAGTCACTTGATCTCTACAGTGACGTAGTAAAGGGTCCACAATATTGGGGGTAAATATCTCTCTCTCACGTTACCATCTTACTAGCTTGGCACCCTTCAAATTTTACTATACTCGCAAAAGATATCTATATCTGCTATAGTCATTAAAACGGTTAATTCATAATTAATCGCATATATATACCATTTTGATTAGTGCCAACAATTCGACAGTCAATAGAAAAGAGGTTAACCAAACGAAAATCATAGACTGGATCACAATCCCCTATGTTAAAGCACGGACTTCGTCCTCTAATCTAATTCCGTGGTAAAAGGAACATCTGCAACATTTGACCGGGTGATGGAGAAACGCTCCTTTCAGCACGACCCTGCTCCCACCACTTCCTTTCCCATAAGACCGTTAACAACGTACGTTGATATATTGATTTGTTTTTGACATAAAATACAAAATGATCTATGTAATTTGTTTTATTCTATTTTATACATGTAATTTTAATCATCTAAATTTACAGTCATCGTTGTTTCTACTTTAGTTTAAACTTTATTTTATTGATGTTAAATTACAATAGTACATGGTTATAAATACAGAAAAGGATCCAGAAACAAGTACATAGTACTTATGTAAATCCGTCTCCTTATAGACATAACAGCAGCTATGGATCAGTACTGACAATATTATAATTCATATAAATAAATATAAATACACTGTATATATAGAGTATAACATGTGCAGGGAAAAGAAAGAGAACGGGTGCAAGGATTTATAGTGGGATGGGGATGATATTTGACGGGGAAGCGATGGGCATCAAAACTGCATTGAGAGAACAAACGCTGATTGCATGAATACAAACGATATTTGACGAAAGAGCACTAGCTGTGTCTGTACATGTTGTGGAAAGTTTATGTAATATGTTATGAAAACAAATTAAAACAACAAATGCAATTCTTAACTGGCACTAATGATCTGTAACACTCTACGCAGACCAATGCGATATTCAAGTAATTGCAAGTATCACCACAACAAACATGATTACTGATATGAATGAAGTTAAAGTTTCTTTAAAAACGTCTAGACTGAACAATGAAGTTTTGAACATAGTCAAAAATAGTTTCATTTAAGTGAATTGGTAGTTCGGGTCTACCCTAAAGTAAAAAGCTTATATTATAGTTAGGAGGTAGGCGACTAAAACATTGGATTATCAGCAGCTGGTAGTTAGGACATTGGTGGAGGAAATTGTTCTGTAGTTTCAGTAGACAAATTACATGAGCACATAGGACTATCAACTAATTTTCGTGCAAACAGGTGAGTATTTAAGGAGCTGCAGTTCATCCTAAGTCGTGCATAATGGATCTGACCTTGTCTGCTTCTGCAGTAGTAATAGTGCTGAGGAACAGAGAGAGTGTCGGAATTTAGATTTTTTTTGAGGTTAGTAATTGAGGGATTGTATTTTACGTTATCTGGTAGTGCATTCCATAAACCAACAGAAGGGGGGAGGAAAGAGTCTTTATATAGATTAGTTCGACAGTTGACTTGACAGACATTGTTAGCTCTTCTTGTATTGCAAGTATTATATTTGAATGGCGAGCAGGTAGAACGTTAGCAAGATAAGAAGGGCACTGACCATGAACAATCTTATGAAATTGGATTAGTTTGTGTGTTCTCCTTCTACTTTGCTGCCATGTGTAACCAGAGACGTAATATACGTCTCTGATGTAACTAATAATCGTTATTGTTTTGAAGGGAGAAGGCGAATTTTAACTTGTGTCTAATCCCATTCGTATTTTTCAAATAAAATATGTTTAAATCAATTACGTTTCATCAGAGACGTATATTACAAATATACGTCTCTGGTTTCATGCATAAACCAGGGCTATCATAAGACTTATAGGAATAGGAATAGGAATTAATATTTACCTCAGATTTCAATTTGATTAAAATCAAATCCTATTTTACAACGAATCAAGTAACAAGACTACAAATTAATTGAAATGTGATTTTAAATTAACCACATTTGTCAGTTTATACGCGCTATATCCGCCGAGCACCTGTTCCGGATAAAAATGCAACCGTCTTGGGGTTCTGGTATTAGATTACCGATCATATAATTCTTTGTTATTTCTTTAGAAACGGGTATACTTTCTCTATTTAGGTTTCATCATATTGCTATTGAAATTGAAAAATAAAACAAAACAGCGATAAATGATAATATTGCTATCAATGAAACGAAAGTAGTTCTGCAGCTTACGGAAATTAGTCAAGAGATTCAACCAATCAAATCGTCTGATACGAACTTCAAAACGACATCCCGACTTCCGATAACTTTGTCAGGCCTAGCGGTGCATGGTGGAATTAGCAGAGTAATCGTTGTAGATTAGGAGGAAATATAGGTACAGTATAGTATAAGATGAGTTTAAGGAACATTATATGGAAGCATTTATATAAGTATGCTTAGTTTGGTAAAGAGTGATGTACTCAGTCCTATTTATCCTATTTTTAGCCAAGAGCCAACCCGGCCATGTTTCCTGAACACCAGACATGTTGATAGGTAGATGTCCCTTGTGGGACATTTTGACTGATTGATATCTTGTGGATGTGTTTGTAAAATCTAACTGTCAGAATGTCCAAAGTCTGATGTTTTGGGAGAATTGGGCGATCTCAAAACTTACTAAGACTTTACCATGCATTGTAAGCTGGTAAGTTAGTACCATAACTACTCATAAGTGCCTGCTGTACATGTACATTCAACATTAATTTATGTACTATATAATTATAGTTCCTGGGTGACTTATTTGCAACTTGGGTTGAACTTTGCTTCAAGATCCTTCCAATGATGCATATGGTTCAAAGCCGATTTAAATCCATTCAATGTGCCTGAGTTCACAATACTTCCTGTCAAGCTATTCAAGTCATCTATAACTCTGATAGAAAAGAAATATTTCCTGGTGTTCAGTCTTGCACATAGTTTTTCGAATTTCTTACTGTGGACCCTTGTTCTGGTCTCTTTTGATGGTTTTATCATTTTCCAACCTTTTTGGCTAAGATCGTCATTAGTATAGCCTATACATTTGAATCATGATCCAGGCTAACAAGAGTGATTAATATAAGTTGAAATAACTTGTTTCATATTTGTTGTAAAAATAAATAAATTTTATTTTTTAAGTGAACAATGTAGGATGATGTCTGGTTATAATTATGACCAAATCGCAAATCCTGTTCCTTCAGCCTAATGTTGACAATGTAACAGCCAAGGAATATGAGGTAAAAATTATTGCCTTTCTGGCAAACTGGCTTTTTCAGCCATGCAGTATAACCTGGGGATGTGCTCACTAGTTGTTTTCAGCAATGTCGAGCGTGCAGATCAGTGGCTGGATGGGTATTTGCCCGCACGTTATAAGGTAGAAACAATGGTGAACGGGTAATAATTACGATAGCACAAGAATACCACACAGCAACAGCATGAGAATTTGATAGCACACAGCAACACTGGTCTCACTCCTTTTCTGTTGTACCATGATGTTGTCATCATATTCTCAGACTCCAATTGACAAAGATAGCCTCAGGTGCTGATATGTCTTTCTATCTTTCTCTGTGTTTGGAAAGAAGCTGTTATGTAAAATAAGTTATTGAAGGTAGTTTTCAATATTCCCTCTCAATGTGTTATCTTGTCCTGCTGTAACCAGAAATAAGTGTGAGGTCTTGACTTATTTTAAGACTGATCTAGAAGAACACTGTCAGTCTTGCCTGCATTTCCCGGTCAGGGGCATGTGGCATATCAGTAACACAATTAGTGTGATGTACATATATAGCCATTATACGTCATCACACTGATGAGCTGTACTTCATGGGCAGCCTTGCTATGAAGCGGAAAGAGGCTGACTTGCTCTTGTTGCTAATTACTAAGGTTTCTTGATCTCCCTTTGCAAGAACCTCAGAGAGCAGTTTGGATTTGCTTTGTTCACCATCAGGGATACATATAGTAAATACATTTCCACTTTGACATGACAACTCCATTCCTTATTCCCAATATGTTCTCAATAATCATAGGACTGCAATTGTACAGGAATTGTTTTAAACAGGTAACCATCTTTCAAAAAAAAAAAAGATTTTAACAGTGTGTCCTATACAGCAATAACATTTTCAATGAGATGGTAAACATTGCAAATATAACAACTGAAGTAATAGCAAGCAAGGAAGAGGAGTAACACCTGTCACACATTACTTGATAAATATGTAGGTTTTTCTAACTGGAGTGAATTGATTTTCACTAAAGTACAGAAGATTTCGGTGATATTTCCTGAAATAGCCTTCCGTGATGTACCAGTGCAAATGAAACTATCATGCCTTGCAATCACTGATTTCTCCCTATATGTGATAGCCAGTCCATTTCAGATAGCAAATCATTCCTTTTTTATGCTAAAAATGTTCAGTATCATAAAGAGATTTGCCTTTTAAATTATTTTTCAAGGTGTCCCATAAGCTGACAGTAGTAACTGCTGATATCTGCCTCTAAAAGATGGCTGCTGAGCCCGGACGTGTGCTGAAACCTTTCAATGGCGGTCAATTGCAACATCTCACTGCAGCAGTCAAACCAGGGATGGTTGGAGTGCAGGCCAAGGAGAACATCTCCTCTACACCCACAGCTGAACCTGGACGTGTGCTTAAGCCTCCCAACCGTGCAGGAGGTCCTGATCCTAATCCCATAGCCAAACCCAGCACTGAAAAAGAACAAGTCTCCTCCATTAATCCCAAAGAACCCTCAGGGTAAGGAGCGCTTCTTGATTCATAAAACGGAGTACACTTTTGGAATGGTCTTGCCAAATTGAAATTACTACTTTTAATTTTAGGATCAAATTAACTCAAAATTTTACTGCTTTTGAAATAAATATTACGATTAAAAATAAATAAGTTCTAGACTTTCAGATGTATATAATAATTATATATATCTAACTTTATATATATATATATATATATAAAAAAAAAAATAACGACCGACTAAAAAAACTAGCTGCTTTCACCCTTCACAGGGCTCTTCAGGTTTATTAAAAAAACAACGTCGTGACGTCACAATTACATGTCATCACACTACAATAGTAACGTGACATCACGAAGTACACAAGATTGGTGGACAATTTGGCTTAAAATTTTAATGTGGCCTGTTGAGACTCGGTTTTAATATTCTTATTAGTTGGTCTTCTTTCGTTTCTCTTAAAATAGTGTCTGATGAAAATAGTTGATACAAAGGTAATACATTAAATTTATCTCCAGCACATTCATGAATATGTTTGTTAACATGAAGATTTTGTAAAGAATCAGTTCTAGTTTGTTGTCTATGTACAGTCATACGTGTCCTGAGTTCATTACCGGTTCGACCGATGTAAAAATCACCACATTTAGAACAAACGATTGCATAAATTACATTTTTTGATTTACAAATCATATTTACCTTCATAGTAAATTTCAAACCATTCCTGAAAATAAAAGTATTACACTCGATAATCATAGGACATGTAGCACATCTTGGTGTCTTACATTTGGATACTTTTGGTGTTACACAAGAATTATCAAACTTAGAACATGTCAACATACGTTTCAAGTTTTAGGTTGGCATCTACAGTGTAAAATAGCATGTTTATTAAAAATGTTTCTCATACGCCTGCTACTTTGCTTTAACTCTTCACATTTGTTCTTTATCACAGGAAACATATTACATTTCCGTGGATTGAAAGTAGAAACAAAAGGAACTAACTTTGATTCATCCTTTAGTTTTTGTAGACGGGAAGTAAAGGGTCCCTTTTCAATAGCTTTCTGTATACCATGTTCTATTATCTCAGTAGGATAACATTGAGCTTTAAGGTATTGCTTTAGTTGACTTAGTCTAGGTATTGCTTTAGTTAACTTAGTTAGTATATATATATATATATTCAAGTTTGTAATCCCAGGTTGAATCTGTAGCAGTAATGCTACTGGTAGCATCAGGGGTCACAGTTAAAGAGATCTTTGCATAGAATTTGAAATGCATTGTGTGTATTGTGGTTAGGTACCCTGCATGATGTGCTGTTAATGTATTGATATTTTACTTTTTGCTTCTTTTCAGACAAAGGTGGTCATTACAAGATTTTGATATAGGGAGGCCTCTAGGTAAAGGAAAGTTTGGAAATGTATATCTGGCCAGAGAGAAGTCAACCAAATATGTTGTTGCCCTTAAGGTAAGGTCATCCGTCCATTGCTGTATGCTTAAGCCATCCATTGCTGTATGTTTAAGCCGTCCTTAAAAAAATATTTCTGTGCAGTTTCCTGCAAACATGCAGACATGCTCTTCATTTCCTTAAAAATCACACCATTTATGTTACAGCCATAGTGCCATTTTATATTTATAACAGTGAGACTTGATTGTTATTGTTACTGACATCTCTTCAGCACTCGCACTTCTATTGCTTTGAGCTCCAAGATGATGCACATATCAAATGTTTATCTTAGTTTAACCTGCTTTCCAGTGATATGTAGCTGCTACATAGCAAATGAATCTTACTAAGAATATGTGAAGTATGAGCACGCTAAGATAATCCCAGAAATAACCAGCCTAGGAGACTGGATGTGTTCGCACGAATCGGAGGCCATACCAGTTTTACTATTTATTTTAAATTTAAGATACCTGGTATGTTTTAATAAAGAAACGGGATTTGGAGAAATTATAGGACATATTGTTTTCGTTACAGGTTCTATTTAAGTCACAGTTACAGAAAGCTGGTGTTGAGCATCAACTTCGACGGGAAGTAGAAATACAGTCACATCTGCGGTAGGTACAAAGCAGACCTAGACTTGGCATGACATTTGAATACATGTGTTTACAAGGCAGAAGTCTTCTGTTTAAAATGTCCCATTAAAGGTATGATTTATAGAGGATCTGTCATAAGTTTCCCTCCATATTAGATTTATGATACAAGTTTTGGATTTTTAGCTCACCTGGTCCAAAGGACCAAGGTGAGCTTATGCCATACCGTGGCGTCCGTCCGTCGTCCGTCTGTCATCAATTTCTTTAAACGACTTCTTCTTCTTAACCACTGATTGGAATTCAACTAAATTTGACTGGAAGCATCCCTAGGTGGTGGGGGTTCAAAATTGTACAAATGGTGGGGCTGACCCCCAAGGGGGATGAGGGGCGGGGCCAAAAGGGGTCAATTTGGCTATATTGCTTTAAGCGACTTCTTCTCTGCAACTAAGAAGTGGATATCAACCATATTTGACTGGAAGCATCCCTATGTGGTGGGGATTCATACAAATGGTGGGGCTGAGGGCGGGGCCAAAAAGGGGGAAATTTGGCTATATTGCTATAAACAACTTCTACTGTAGAACTATGCCATGGATATCAATCATATTTGGTCGGAAGCATTCATCGGAGGCAGGGATTCAAAATTATACAAATGGTGGGGCTGACCCCCCGGGCTAAGGGGTGGGGCCAAAAAAAGTGTATTACTTGGAAATGGTTGAGATCCCCACCATATAACCATGGTATACAATTGCTGAGTATAAAGAGAAGAATGCACATTTGCTTCCAGGATGGCTATAGGGTCTGGCCCCACCCTTGGAGACATAGTCCCTGTGCCATAACTTTAAAACTGTTGAGATCCCCACCCCAAAACTGTATATATAAATGCTGGGCATAAAAAGACGAATGCAGTCATGATATCAGAATAGACCCTGGGGTCTGACCGAACCCCTAGGGACCTAGTTTGTTAGTCACATTTTGGAAATAGTTGAGAGCCCCACCCTATAACGGTATATACAATTGCTGAGTATAAAGAGATGATTGAACATATGCTTCCAGGATGGCCTTGGGGACTGCCCCACCCTTGGAGACTTAACCCCTGGGTCATAACTTTGAAATGGTTTAGATCCCCACCCCAAAACTATATATACAATTGTTGGGCATAAAAAGACAATGCAGTCATGATATGAGAATTGACCCCAGGGTCTGCCCCACCCTTGCAGACTTAACCCCAGGGTCATAACTTTGAAATGGTTGAGATCCCCACCCCAAAACTATATATACAAATGCTGGGCATAAAAAGATGAATGCAGTCACGATATTAGAATTGATCCTGGGGTCTGGCCACAACCCTAAGGACCTAGTTTCTGAGTCAAAGCTTGGAAACAGTTGAGATCCCCACCCCATAACCATACATAAAATTGCTGGGCATGAAGAATCTAATACATGTACAGATATGCTACAAGGATTGGCCTTGGGGTCTGGCATATTCCCTTGATCTCATTCGGAGAATATTTTGCCATGATTGCTTTGGTATCCAGGTGAGCGATACAGGCAATCTGGGCCTCTTGTTCATGTTTGCGAGCCTTTGGTGAGATAAAAATAATATGCATTCTACATATTGAATTGTTGGATGTGTACTGGAAACACCTCGTCTGTTTTTATGCTCTCGTCCATAACTTCTGACTCGCTGAAAGTAGAAATAAAAATGGAAAGGTGATGTGTTGCATACCACTTTAGGTTCTGTATGCTGAGGGTCGAGGTCGCATTGAGGTCAAAGGTCAGATTTATTGTCTCGACAATAATGTCTGACTTGCTAATGATAGCTCTTTTCAAATTTTAGAAATACGTAAGATTACAACATGATGTGTTATGTACCGCTTTGGGGTCTATGCCCAAGGTCGCTGTCTCATTACGTTCAGAGAACATGCCTGCACCACCAACACACTACATTCCAGACTCGGTGACATTTTTGGGAGCATAATTAATGAATTTTACTGATGTTCTTGTTTTGGACTATGAAAATATTAGTTCAGACAAAAGTAGAATTTTACAAAACCTACATGTGGTATTGTACTGTGAACATGGAATTGAACACCCTTACATTTTCCCTTGATGTGAAACTTCCATTGTCTTCTTTGTTACAGACATCCACACATACTGCGCCTTTTTGGATATTTTCACGACAAAACAAGAGTCTACCTCATTCTAGAATATGCACCAAAGGGAGAACTCTACAAAGAGCTCATGAAGAATGCAAGATTTGATGAGAAACGAGCAATTGTAGTAAGCTATACCTACATGATTGATTAAAGAAGGCACTAACAATATTTTATTTGGAGGGTACTACTGCCAAAAACTGTAATGATAACTATGAATTGGAAACTGTTATTTTATGTATATGTATCTACATTAATCCTTTAAACAGGGATCTTGAATGATTTTTGTGTAGGCTGTCTCACTCAGGTTTTTGTTTTTTTACAGTATATAAGCCAGTTGGCCAGTGCCCTGAGGTATTGTCACGGTAAAAAGGTCATTCACAGGGATATCAAACCTGAGAACCTCCTCCTCGGAAACACCGGTGACCTCAAAATTGCTGACTTTGGCTGGTCAGTTCATGCACCCTCATCCAGGTAAGTAACAATTTCTAATGGTCAGTCTTCATATACTCATCCAGCTAAGTAACAATTACTCATTGACTTTGAGTGCATGTCTTTGGCATATTTGCTGTCGACAAAAGTGTCGTACAGTCCTCTGAATGGACATGTGCGCCGACTCTAATGGTCAGTCTACATCACCTTATCCAGGTAAGTGACTATATCAATTTGTCATCTCATCTAGTCAGTTTATACATGCTTTTCTAAGTAAGTAACAATCTCAAAAAGGTGATTCAAACACACTGTTGTCTAGGTAAACATCAACTACAAGTAAATCGGTTAATACACATTTATCTAGGTGCATAACAATTAAAACTTATCATTCCACACCATCATCCAGGTAAGGTATAACATAACTGCTGGCATGTGTAGCGGAATTAGACTGGGTTGATCGTTAGTGACCAGGTAGCTCAATTGTTTGAGCGTCCGTCTAGAATTCAAAGAGTTCTGGGTCAAACCTGGTCTGGTAGTGCATTTATCTGCACGTACTACATTTGTCGCCCAACAAAATATACCCAAGAAAGGTAGTATTGGTTCTTGTGTGTCAAAGGAGGGAGGATTGTAATGGAACTAGACTGGGTTCATCGTCAGTTAGTAGAGCATCCGTTCAAATGGTCTCGAATTTGATTCCCAGTCTTGCCATGCATTTTCCCGCATCTACAACACATGCATTACACACAACTTCTGATACTTTCAACATTTCAAAATTGCTGACTGTCCATCATATAATATTATTATGTTTAAAAATGAATAATAATGTTACCAAAACTTGTATCTAAGTTCCTAGCCAGATCTTTCGTGCTTCATGGCATGTTTTACACACCATATCTAAATATATTTCAGGAGAACCACATTGTGTGGCACCTTAGATTACCTACCTCCAGAAATGATTGAGGGCAATCTTCATGATGAGAAGGTGGATCTGTGGAGTCTTGGCGTGCTATGTTACGAGTTCCTGGTGGGAAAGCCTCCGTTTGAGGCTGCAAGCCATGAAGATACCTACAGAAGGATAACTAGAGTGGATCTTCGGTTCCCGTCATATGTGTCCGATCCAGCCAAAAATCTGATCAGTTTGGTAAGGTTTTAGTCCCGCACAGATTCTGTGCAGCTTTACAATTTGGTTTAATAAATAGACATAACAGCACATGTATTTTAGCTCACTTGAACCTAGTACCACCAAGTTAAATTATTTTATTGTCATTGTCACAAAATGTAATACGAAGTATTCCATAAACACCACATGTTGCATTTTACAGAATTATAGTGGTTTGAAATTTGAATATTTTGAAAATAAAAGCACAAAACTTAAGAAGTTGAGCACAGGACCTTAGCACTGCCAATCCTCCAAGAAAAAAGCAGCTCAAAGTGGAACTCTTCATTTATATAACTAATACAGTGGTAGCCTTTCCCTTAAATCAAAAAAAGAAAGTCATATACATGTAGTGAGTGGTATTGTACCCTTTTAATTATGAGGACCATGGATTAATACCTGTGAATTAGTAACATAACTATTTATTTTGTTATTTCCAATACCTGTGATTGTCATGTTTGTACATTATGATTTCAGCTGCTGAAACATGACCCAAATAAACGGTTATCTCTGGACAAAGTTTTAGAACATCCTTGGATCAAAGACAATCAAAATCCTGATACATCGTAGAATCAAGTTTTCTATGAAAGCACTTTTGTGATTATCTGGACCTCATGTCTGTATTCCCAAGATTGGAGGAAAACAATGGAGGTTCAGTAAAAATAACTCCCCTCTTTGAAATGATATAAGATTCCTGACTTACCACTGAAAAGGTGCTGTATCATACATATGGCGGGAGATCTTGAGAGTTGTATATCATGTGATAATTTATTGACCCCGGAACTGAGTATGTGGGGAAAGGAACCCCTGGCCACAGATTCACACAATGTTCCAGGTAGTGTGAAAAGGAATTTGATACTGGACGGTGACAAAGGCTACATTCGCGTTACCGGTTGAAACGGTACGTGTGGCGCAGAATTTTTCCACGATAAACGAACACTCTTGGACCGTTCTATAAGCAGAGCTAAAACTGCACAGTTTCGGAGAATAAAAAACAATGTATCAAGAATATTATGCCCTTATGTGGCTTGACATTGTTTTAGAAAGAAATAACGCAAACTAGCAATATTCAGCAGTTTAGTTTCGGCCAGGTACGTCTGGACCCCTCAATCTACACGTACCAAATTTTCCTGAGGTCAGCCTCGGTCCAAATCTGTACCTGTCGTTTTCTTTACAGGTTCAACCGGTTCAACCGTTTCAACCGGATACGCGAATGTACCCAAAGTCTTCCAGACTGTTATGAGATCACGGTTATTAATTAGTTTGTTTTTGTACAAATCATGTGTGTATATAATATCAACAATGGTGGTATTCTAATCTCTGATGATCTCCGTCATTCATGGTATAATATAGAAACTATCAGTCAATCTGCTTGACAGTTGACTTGTATTTCATAGTTGTAGCTATCATAACTATCAAGTAACACCAAAGGGAACATAATAACAATTAAGTTACTCTAGTGTCACCAAATATTTCAAGATTTCCACAGAATAATAAAATATTAAACATACCAAGTGCAGATAACAGATTACTCACCCTTAGGCCATTATTGTACATTGTTGATATGACATCATGATGAACAATATGAGCCTCCCTGAGAGTACTTCAGGGGAAACATCACATCTCAAAATTGTTCTGACCAAGCCTCAATCATAGAGGCAAAACTAGTCAACCAATAAAACTCAGAAGATCTGCTTACTTGGTAACACTTGAGTATGTTGACCTATTGGCACTATGGAGACAATACCAGATAGATAAAGAGCCTAGATGTTGTGATTTTTACTTAATAAATTATCTTGAGAAGCATCTTTTCTGCATTATTTATAATGATTCTTGATTAAGTGATAAAAAAAATCTTTTATTTGTTTCAATTTCATATCAAATTGATAGAACTTGTAAAAATATCTTTCTGTTTATATTGAAAGAGACATGAATAGTTCTTAACTCATTTGAAAATTCTGCTATGAAATGGAATAGTGGGTAAGCCGCATTGTGAAGGCTGATCCTCATACATTTTGTATTTCTATTTTAGGTATAACATATTGTCCTAGACTGTTTGTAAAAATTATATAACACCAAATGTCACTGTTATAACTTAGATATGTATTCCAAAATGGAATACCATTTCTTACCCAAGTGCATTATTCCTTGAAATCCCAGATTTATTTAATTGAATTATTCATTGGAGCAATTATCAAATTTTAGCTTGAATGTCACATAAAACGGCAATATTAACCTTTATTGTATTCAATAGAATGGTTTATCTTCCAATTAGACATGTTTGTAGTGTTTTCTCCAGGTTTGAAAAAATATGGGGGGAGGGATGTACACAATCCTGGAGAAAACACTGGTTTGTTAAGGTGTCATATTTACACCCTATTGACGAGCTTTTGTTTATTCAAATTGTTCAGTATAATACAGGAATACATAAGGAGGGTATTATAATCTGATTGGCTGTACATGTACTTGGATAATATGTAACTTATTATGTTAAAAAGGAATGAAGTTTAATGAAAGTGTATGTTGATTCCATATTATATCCTGGTCAACTTGTCTGATGTCATAGACACCAACAGGACAGCCAAATGTTTGTCTTCCTTGTTCAACATAATGTCACCTTAATGTCACTTTGAACCTGATATCTGTTGAGTTACAAGAAGAAATATTTCTTTTGTTAAACTTGTTATTGTTTAATAATTCCATCCTCTTTGCTTCACATGGCTTTGACCCAGTTGTTATCACAGTGAATCCTGTCTAATTGGATGCATGTGACACTCATAATGTATTGGTCAGTTTAGACAGAATGTCAGAAGGCACATGTTTTGTTTGTATTTCAAATAAAAAATGGAGTTACTTCATGTGATGGATTATACAGATGTGGAATTAGATAGAAAGGTTTCTCTAAAATTGAATTTTTTAAGTTATTTATTTTAAATCATGCAGTTCAAATTTGAACTGTTATTCAGAGGCTAAATAATAATTCCTTTCTCTGGTATGATCACTGTACCGTAAAAGTAGAGATCTAGGACTAATACCAAGAATTACACAGATAAAGACTACCTGTAATACTGATAAGGTGTACAAAGTTTGGAGTACAGAAACACTTGTGCCTACTGACAGATGGACAGACACTGATTCCAGTAATTTCCCTAACTTTGTTGTGGGGATATCAAAACAATAATGTACATGTCTTTTAAAACAAAATTATGGCCCCAATCCCTCCCATTTGATGTTAATAATTCTATTTTTGGTGCTGTGTTGAATTTCTTCTTATATTACCTATCTGTCAGTGCAGGTTTTTTTAGGGATAGCTTATGACAAACAACTGTGGCCAATGTTGGTAATGAAACTTTACTTCAAATAATGTGCAATTTCTTGCATTGGAAATGGAAGTGAATGAGCGGGTGATTGGGAGGTTTGCTTTCAATATATGTTTATTATATTTTTACCAGTAAAGTATGGAAAAATATCGATATGATAAGTGATTTCTTAAGTTAAAGTATGTAGAGATGTTCATCACTGATGGTGATGTCACAGTAGAGAGGCGACATTTGATTGTCATGTCCAACAAAATGTCCTGGCTAATCTATGATATGATACTGTATATCAGTAAATTTCATGGAAGTTTAACTTTCCCTTTTTTGAACTTCTATCATGAAGACAAATTTATCTTGACAGCCAATATCAATGCCAAACCCACTATATTTAGTCCTGATATGTGAAGGGCGAAATCAATGCTAGGATTTTTACCATGTATACAGTAATTTGCAATGTTCTGTGAACTTGAGGAACGTACAAATGTAATAAAAAGTAAAACTCATGGTTTTATGATGAACATCATTATATATTTCACTCCTATTTCAGATTTTAAAATAATTTTTCTTATGCTATACATTCAGTCATACTCCTTGAATATACATTTATAATTGGTATTTCAACAGGAAACCATTGAATATTCCATGTATAATGTGCATATTTTTCCATTATGTAAAATAAAAAAACAAATAAACTCTGCAATAGTCATTCGTTTGTGTTGCGTTTTTAGCTTACCTTGCCTAATGGTCCATGAGGGCTAATGGCATGGTGTGACAAAAAGAGATTTAGGATTTTGATATTTGTCCAGTAACATGCTGGGATGAAGTGAAAGACCTTGACCTATTTTCCATTCCCTCTCTGCACCCCTGGAATATGTCATTGCAAACAAGAGGCATGCAGCTAGCTATTTGATTGGTCTTGGGTAAAAAAAACACCTGACCAATCGGTAGGCTGATACCAGCCCTTTGAAGATTAATGAGGAGCAACACCTGACTTCAAAGTCATGCAATTTTACCGTTAGGCCACTGACAGATTCTTTTGATGTACATCAAATGATTAAACTAGTCTGCTCATCTCATCCACAAGGTGGTGCACACTGACCTTCAATTTTGCTATGACATATTCCAGGGGTGTAGAAAGTGAACATGAGTATAACCCCTGGAGTATTGAGGATGCCTATTTTCAAGGTCTTGGTGGTAAAACATCGAAACCTGTAGTGTAAACAAATTCTTCTGAATAACCCAAGAGGTTTAGGGTAACGGTATATGGCCTGTAGCATTCTCTTATGAGGGACCATCATTTCTGTTCAACTACAACTTTGTCACTGAAAGTGTGACATAGGTTCTGTTTTTCCAGAGATGTTGGCTGCATCACCCTGTTTCTACGCAATTACAGGCAGTACAACTGTCAAATCTGGTACATAGCTATTAGCCAAGTCATGAGGTTTACATCTCCATATAGGACAGGAACAGCGGGTTTGAAAGGAAAACGGAAGAATTTAAAGAATTTTGATAAATGGACATAATTTCTTCTCCAAGTTCAAAATAAACTTAAAAATAGATACACATCGTCATTGAACAGTATTGTTTAATAGCATAATCCATCGGTTTTACTGATTTACTTATTGACATCCTTTTGAGAACCATAAGGTCTAAGATCATAGTATTTGAATACCTCATGGTCATGTCTTTAACTGCATTCAAGTTTATAAGGGTCAAATAGGCTAAAATCTTCAAGTGACTTCCAAGGTCCAGAAAGGTTGGAATCATGACATTTGTCAAGTTACATGCAGTAACAGGGATTGAAAGTTATTAAAGTTGTTAAAATCATACCCTTAACCTTCATCAAAGGTCAGTGAGGTCATATGTTAAAGTCTTGGAATGACATCAAGTTCCAGGAAGCCTGGGATCATGACAAGTTAGTAAGTAGAATTGAGGGCTATTAAAGACATAACCATGACGGATTCCAAAATGTTTACATTGTTAAATTACTTCTGAAGTTCCAGATGGCATAAGGTAATATAATATGACCAGTAATTAGCTAGAGTGGATTTCTATCATTTTTTTCTAAATATTATTAAGTGACCAAACCTTCATTGAAGTTTGCAGGGTAAATATGATGAAAGATGTCAATGATTTATTTTCAGGCTCTAGAAAGCAGAGGGTCATTACGTTTGATCAGTAGCTAACTCGGATGATGTGCTATTAAAGCAGTTCAAAAGTAACCTTGACCTTCAAGGTTATATCGACCAAATATTTTTAAATCTTTTAAACTAAGGCCTATAGTCGTTTGACCTGTAGGTTGTTGGGATAAATAACCTTGCTCTTCATTTAGGGTCAAAGATCAAATTTGTTAAAATATTTGAATGACTTCTCAAGTTCCAGAGGGCCTTATACTTGACCAGTAGGTAACTGGAATAGAGGGCTATATAAGTTAAAATAAATATCCTTGAGTTTCATTCCATGGCACAGAGGTAAAATTATTTGAGTTCAAGGCGGCCAATGATCATGATATTTGACCTTTAGGTAATTGTAATGGAGGACTATCAAAAGTGTTTCAACAAATGGCATTGATCTTCGTTCAAGATTTAAGGGATCAAATCTCTCAGGTTGCACAATCGAACGGCCATGGTATTTTTCCATGCAATAGGTCGTTTGGAAAGAGTAAATGACCTTGACTTTATTATGAAACAAAACCGTCTTTCGTCATGTCTTTGCCGATACAACTTCATTTGTGACCTGTCACTTACGACATTGATGTTTCTTGTTCAAGTGATCGTCAAGGCCCATGGATCGTTTGTCCATCAAAAACCTAGACTACTCGAGAATGAACCGGCTCATAACTAAAAATGAAAATGGGAGTTCAACTTATTATAGAACTATTCCTTAATTAACAGACTACGGGAGATCGGGGCAAGTTCGGCCCCTAGTAAGCCCGACCACACATAATAGTTTTGGTCTATCAAATATTTACAACTTTGAGGATCTTTGCAGTTCAGTTGACTGGACAGGACATTCATGCAAAGAAATCCAGAGGATAAGTCAATTACTATGAAGAAAATCATGACCTCATAGTCACTTCTTTTTAGTTTTGAGAACTTTCTGTTAACCGGATCGTTACTTTTTATCATATATATATATATGGCATCGATACACGCAGCACACTGACAGCTTCACCTGATGGTATACGTATTGATGAATTCTAATGTACGAATTGATTGAATTGGTTGGAAAATCTGACGTTGCATGCTCTATGACGTCATAATTATGCTGCTTCGAACGTGGGATGAACTTACCCAGACTGCATGTCCGAACTTGCCCCAAGTTGGGGCACGTTCGACCATCCAATCTCCCTACAGAAAATGTTTAACAGCTCTCCAACTATACGGACATGTTAACCCTTTTGTTATTATTTTATGAAAGGCATGGAATTTCCTCCAAATGGTATATACAAATAAATTTCAACAAATGCCATACCGTCCAGACCGACTTTGATGAAAATGGGCCGAACTTGCCCGGTCTCCCCTAAATATATGAAATGAATAGCCTATAAAACGCTTTGGCCCATTACTGTTGTGGGTTTTTTTGTACTCATTATTTTGTATTTACCATCGTATGGCATTGTCACTATATAACCCTACCAAATTCAGTTGGCATTCATGTAGGCTATTAATGCCATGGACCGATTGTTGACGGTATCATTATTATGACGTCATAATTGTTACGTTACATACATTATTTGAACAAAATGCTGAATGATAATAAATGTTACTGAATTTTCTATGAGATGAACAGATTCCAAAAATGGTAAATACAAATATTGAACTGCTTTCAGTTGGCATTCATAGGCAGTCTGAATTACAACTGGACAAAGGCAAAGCTAGCCAACATGAAGCGCTAGCGCGTTTCATTGAATTTGCCTTCTTCCAAAAAAAGTTGGCATTCATAAGCAATATGAATTCCCACTGGACAAAGGCAAAGCTAAACAACATGAAGCGCTAGCGAGTTTCATTGAATTTGCCCTTTTCCAAAAGAAGTTGGCATTCATAGGCAATATGAATGCCAACTGAAAGCAGTTCAATGCTTAATTGTACACGCGTACTCCTTTCCTTTATTATTAGATCTACTACTTGCCAACTCTACCTATTTTGGAGGAAGACTCCCCGATTTTGGACCATAAAATTGAGCGGCATTTTCAACCAGTAAAGCTCAGCTATTCCTAATTAGAACAGTTCAAAAGATGCCATTTGGAAGGTGTTTTTCCCACTAAGGTGTACATGCTCAAATTTTATTTATGCTCTTAATTCTGAACACGCGGAATCTCCCCCATGGAAATTTCAAGAAGTTGGTAAGTATGATGGTAAGTACATTTTTTGTACATGTATAGTATCTTTAATTGTGTAATCTGGAAAAAAAATCGATATATTTAAGCGTCCTAAGTATAAAAAAAAGAATGCACATTTTTTTAGGCATATATAAGTCTGTGGTTAATTTATGTTTTTATTTCTTCCTAACGCGTATTAGAATCTCTATATATGTTGACATGTTCCGGATATTCAGTGTACCGTCTTCCGTTTCAGACCTTAGATGTAAAGTATAAACTATTTTGATTTTTACATTTAGAAATCGATAAAGTGAGTTTTTTTCATCTGATTTCAATAAAAAAAATTAGAAAAAGTTGATATAATTCGTTATTTGCGATAATTTATACAAAAATGAAGGAAATCCAATGAAAGTGGCTGTTACTTCCTTATCGAGTAATTACAACCAATCAAAATTTCCGACACGAATTTCAAACGCTGAGTACGGGAAATAGCACCGATTGGATCCATCATGATCATTCCAGTTGTAGCATAGGCACAGGATAAACACTTCGCTTATAAGTAATCAACAGTGGCTATAGAGAAGGTAATGGTTCTAAGTAGCAATGCAAGTATTTGAAGATTGGCATAGACAAGCTTGAAATCGACGAGAATATCCTATCAATCCTAGCATGCATGATCTTGTTCTAATGCGTGTTCGACCCCCCGCCCCCCCCC